TGAAGGGAGCTCTCTGACGTTACGGTGTCCTCCTGTTTCGGTCCGCTCTGGTTACGGTGCCTCCTGTTTGGCCCGCTCTGACGTTACGTTGTCCTCCTGTTCGGCCCGCCCTGACGTTACGGTGTCCTCCTGTCTCTGACGTTACGGTGTCCTCCTGTTGGGCCCGCTCTGTGCCACTCCGGCATCCGCTGGCGGCGGCGGCGCCGGCGGCTGCTCTCCCCCCCCCCCCCCCCCCCGGCAGGGGACGGCCGGCCGCCGGCAGTGCCCGAGAGGCCGTGTACCGGCATTGGTCGGCGGAACGGAGTAATGACACACTGCCCGGTGACGGCCCTGCTCCCGTCCGGCTACCTACCAACACTTTCACCTGCATCTAAATTTCCATCACACCATTTTCGTATCTTATGGGTTATGGCTATACTTTATGTTATACCAGTCCAATCGGGACTTGGTCTCCAAATCTGCCACGCTGTGACTTATGGGACCACAGCAACAAGGGACCGATTTTAATTTTATTTGTTGTTTGTTGGTGTGCTGTGTTGAAGCAACGTAATGACTAATTATGAATTTGTGGTGAATATGAGGCACCGTAATAGCACAGGGGATTATCCGATACACATCAGTGTCTGTCGATGGAGTTCATGTCATTATTATGCTATCGGGATTGCCTATGAAGCTTGTTCCGTTTTTATTCTTTGTGGAGATGCAATGGATATAATTATTTTCGCTTAGGGTGTTCGGTTTTAACCCTTATTCAGCGCCCCATTGTGAAACAGTGATCACTGTCACTAATGCCTTCACATGCTATAATTGATGTTGATAATTTGTCGGCCGTAGGCTAATTGGTTGTCAGTCAGAAATCAGAATAATCCTGTTTTCACCGGACAGTTTCTCACAATTAGCGCACATCTGGGTACTTAGGTGGCTCGTTGACATGAGCTGACGTGACGCCAGAGGGACCGGTCGGCACCCCGTGCCGGTACCGTGCTAATGGCCCGCCGGGACGCGCCGGGCGACCGGCCCGCCGGTCGGGCCTGCCGGGACACTCCGCCCACGGAGCCGGACTTTTGGCGCCGGGGGATCAGCCCGCCGGCCGGCCGGGCGTCCCTCCCCCGGTCCGGCTGGGGCTCGGATGGCTTTCAGACTCGTCCTTCCGCACGCGGCCCTACACAGCCAGAGTCGTCCTCACCCCCTCCTGAAAAAAATGAGCCAGATTTTTTGCACATGGCTGCCAATTTGCGAGTTTTTTTTTTAGGTCGAGTGACGCAATGTCTGCGACGAAAAGCTGCCTACCACGGAACAATATTTTTAAGAATTGAGTATCATTTCATTTGCCATAAATCTGAGCAGAGGCCAGTTTTACCAGCAAAATCACCGGCTGCAAAAATGTTTGTTTTAAGTCGTCTCCAAGTTTTACCGTCCAGGCGAAAAAAAGATATGCCCATCGATGTGAAAAAATGATATCAGTCAGCGTAACTGGTATGGTTTCACATCAGCGGCTGTTTTCTCGCGTTATGAGTTAAGTCATGTTAAGCTTAAGGGAGACTCCAAGAAATAATTATACCGGCAGTCGGCTATTTTTATGTTGGTAAAACTGGCCTAAGGACTTGGTATTTCATCATAATCGTGAAAAAGCCGATGTGAAGATAATTTGTTGCTTGAAGATCTTATGTTGTTGCTAAAAGTAGCAATGCAAATAAGCGAGGTGAAACACTTAACCGTATTATAATCCTGGCTTCCCCATTAGTGGCAAGGAGGGGCTGTTTGGGACCCCTCTTGATATCTCGAGATCTAACCGGCCGATTTTCAAAATTCGAACGACATTCTATTCCACTCAACGAGATCTACATTTTAAACAAAAAAGGTCCCGAAAACGCAAATGGGAGGGGCAGTAGTTTGGGGGGGGTGTAAAAACTGGAAATTTTAGATGTTTTTTTTTGCGCAACAACTGTAGGTCGATGCAGCATGAATCAGCAATTGACATGCATCACAAAAATAGGTATTTGGAAAAATAATAGACGGATACGGGTGATTTAAATTTTGAAGTCTCATGAAATACGTAACTAATCGGTTGTTTTGCAGGTGCTGCCACCGAAGCGGGTTGGCAATGGTTTGATGTACTAATTCATACAAGTAATGTTGATATGCCTACAAAATGAATAACTACAGTTATGATGCATCAGCATCGTGATCTTCACCCAAATGACTCGCTTCACGAATAGGACCTCCCATTTCCCAATTCCCCATGCCCTGGAACCACCTCTGATAAAGGTATCAACTAGAAATTTTTAGGGAATGTGTCCAGTTTCGTTTTAAGAAAAGTCAGAAACTGTCAGCTTCCTAGCTGTAGCCGTTTTGAAGATATTCCCAAAAAAACCTGAGGTGAGTGGATGAAAACAACCCCTCTGCCACTAATAGGGTTAACACTGCATAGATTTGCAGCACTTTCAGTTAACCCGCGCCCCGCTGGGGGGGGCAGAATCTGCCCCCCTCCCGTTTTTCGCCAATAACTTCTAAACGCAGTACGCCAGCGACGTCAAACTTCCAGCACCTTATCATACATCAATTTGACACGTTCCCTGAAAACTTGAGCGAAATCTGTCGGAATTTTTTTTTTTGAGAAAATGACGTTTTAGTGACGTCATGTTCGCCATTTTCGCCTCAAAAACGGCAAAATTTCAAACGCCGCTAACATCTTCATTTTTAAAGGAATCAAGACGTAACAAAAAAGGTTATACGTCATTTTACTTTGTCTATCAAATGGCTATCTCGTTTTTTGAAAATATTGGATTTTGGCCCAATTTTTTTTTTCTTCAAAAAACTGATTTTTTTTTAAATAATTATGAAATCCAAAAATTTGAGTGTATCGAAAAAACCGGAATATACATCTGAGAAGTGGTCGATGAGCGCCTACATACCATTTTTTAGAAGAATCAGTTCAAAAATGTGGGAGTTATTTAAAATTTTATGACGTCACGACAAACAAAATTTTTGAAAAATGAATTTTTGGTAGTTCTAGACCTCGTACGGAAACAAAAATAGCACCTTTCGATTCGCCATGACATACTGCATCAGATATACACCTTTTTAGGCCTTAACAACCAACTTCAAAATTTGACCTCACTTGACCTGACCTTGACCTGACCTCGACCTGAACTTCAGCCAGATGTGGTCCATATCACTTATTGAGTGTGCCTATTGAATTCTATGAATAAAATGACCCATAAAACATGTGTCGCACATGCCCTTTTCTATATTTTGTTTTTGGTGACCTGACCTGACCTGACCTGACCTTGACCTTGATCTTTGAATGATATTGTATGCAACGAATATTGTCTTGGTAGCCTAAGAACACGTTTTGGGCAATCAGTCTCAGTCCATTATTCGGCAACTACGGTGCAAGGCCGATACTGTAGAAACTTGCATTTTTACCCTTGACCTGACCTTGACCTGGCATCTGACGTACTCAAGCAAAAAAAATGGGCTTTTAAGATCCGCCTTCTTGAGAGCTTTCGAGTGCCGTTTTCCCCCGTCTTTCTACGACCAACGGTTCGGAAGTTAGCCAGGGGGCAGAATCTGCCCCCCGCCCCTCAGCAGGGCGCGTATGACTGAATAGCCCAGCGGGGCGCGGGTTAAAGGGAGATTATGACCTTTTTCCACAAAATCTGAGTTAGGACCATTTTCTGACAAAACACAACAAGTTATAATGTAAATTAAAACCATTTTGCTCAATTCGGTACCTTGCCGCAAATATCTCAACTTGAAGTCACGTTAGCGGGGAGCGCTGAAAATGACCGTTGAATAAGTACTTACATCACTTTTTGGTACTTGCATGTAATTTTGTAAAATGAGCGTATTCCTCACATTTGATCTTCATCACATCTAGTTAGTTAATGGTCGTCTATAGTGCCTTCAAAAGATATTAATGGTTTGGGGGTGGTTTATGTCTAAATTTACGCAACTATTTTTCCTGTTCATCATCTGTCGCCATATGCTGCTATTTTAGTAGCAACGACTCAATTTTGAATCGGTCCCGCCGACTGCACAATAAAAGAAGATACAACACTTTTGCGGCATCACTGAAAAACTTATGCAGTACTGTTATCAAAATTCTCATAACACCGTTCGACAAACCTGAAGTCTTTTTGAAATAAATATGCTTGTATTTTTCGCTTCAGGCTCTGAGGCCAAAATAATGAATTTCGTAGTCGCAATCGCAAGATTTGGCTGCGTTTCTGGCGCATGCCGTTCATTTGTGGCGCAAAATAATACTTGGAAACAAAGAAGAGTAGGCACTATGTACCCCCGAATTAGAATCTAATTAATTCTAAACCGAATTAACTCTAATTCAAATTAGAATCCTTACAACCAAGCAACGACAAGGCGATAACATAAACAAAAACCCAAGCGTCGCTGTTTGAAACAAAAGCGCCATATACTGCGACTTTTTATAGAGAAGGACAACGCATTTCGGTGGGTGTTACAAGTACTGCAAGTACTGCTTCTTTTTTGCAAAATTAAAAACCTTTTTCACATACGAAAATGTGCTAGGAAATTTTCATATTTTATAGAAACTACAGTAGAAATAGTATAGATGTCGAGTAATTTTTATTTAAGAAACAAGAAAGCTCATTATCTCCCTTTAACTAAACGCTTAATAAAAAATGACATTTACCTAAAGCATGGAATCATCACATTATGTTAATAAAGTAATTAAAAATGTAAGCTTAACCCTCCAAATGATACGAATAAAAATGCTTTACATCATCATCATTTTATCAGTTGCGACTGACGTGGGTCTCCGGTTTCCGCAGTGGTGCGTGTGTGCAGCAGTTTCGCCCCTGTGCCGCTCCCACGCGCGGGTAACATGACCTTCCGAGCGCCGGGCGGGGGGAGTTTTCACGTGTCCGCGCGCGGTCGGCCCAATTCTCCCGAGCCCCACCAATCAGGTGGTCGGGGCCGGCCGACCAGCTGATCGGCCGCCAGTCGGCCGCTGACGCTCGGAGAGGGAGGACCGCGCGGCGCGCAGCGGCGGACCCAGTGAGACGTGTGGGCGAGCCGCCAGGGCCCAGTGCCGGCAGCTGACGGACTGAGCAGGCGGCTGGTGGTGACGCCCGCCATGCCTCAGGTGGCCTGTCAGAAGTTCACCGTGAGCAGGGACTCGGTGACCCGGGCGGCCGCTCGCGCCGCACGGTGGAAGAAGCTGCCCACGGACCGCGGGAAACTGAGTGACAAGGAGAGCGGCTTCGAGTCGAGTCCGAACAGCCCGCGGGCTGAGTCGGGCCTGGAGCACGCCCAGCACGCGCCCGGATCGCAAGGTATGTCCCGCGCCAGCTGCATGCCTATTGCCAATGTTCTGTGCTCAGCCGTTTGTCTTCAATCGCCGACAGTTTTGTTATGCTGTGACTGTGTGGTGCTGTGCCCTGGTCCTTCGATTCAGCGTGGTGTTCTCGATTTGTTCAGCGGATACCGGACTCATCAGAACAATGTGTGTCCTTGCTGAATGGTTCTACGTAGGTGAAACACAGCGAGACCGCTGCCCTGGCTCTACTCTGCACTGGTTGCGCGGTACTCGGCTTTTTCGGACATATTCTCATTCGTGCTTCTATCCCTCATATGCTACTGGCGCTGCCCTATTAAAGGCTAAAGCCATTATTTTTCTATTTAGAAGACTCATCGAGAAAGACTGCAGTGCAGTAGGCGTGATTAATTATATTAGCGGAAAGCTTTACCTTTGAAACGCTCATTGCGAATAATCATACCTATGATTGGGACATTCCTTTTTAACCTTCATGGCCATGGAACGAAACTGCGTTGTATGGAGCTTTCCATTAGTTTGAGTATCGATCAAGGATAACACCTGTCATCATTATTTCTTCTTGTTGTAAGGGGCGGTCTCGACTGTGATTTTCCACGGCTCCGAGTTTCCATCGGTCCTGCTCCCATCGATCGGGTCACCTGCGTTCGAGCACACCCCTTCCTCTGCTCTGCAGAGGAGCGCTCATCCCTCATCGCTCTGCGCGCGGCAGCTTTTGGCTGAAGGGCTGGGTCGTTGTTTGTCGTGGCTGGCATTGTCAGTGTCATCATCTGCTCAGTGATGACACTGACACTACCTCCACTCGTTAAGTGTCTGTTCATTAGTCAGTGAGTGAGCTTCCCGAACTGCCGCTGAGCGGAATAGGCGCGGCCCGACCTCAGCGGAACTCACAGCGGGTCTCAGCGGAACTCACAGCGGGTCTCAGCGTAACTCGCAGCGGGTCTCAGCGGAACTCGCAGCGGGTCTCAGCGGAACTCACAGCGGATCTCAGCGGAACTCGCAGCGGGCATCAGCGGGACGGGGGCGACCTCAGAGGCGGCGGAGGGGGGGGGAGGGGAGGGGAGGAGAGGGGAGGAGAGGAGAGGGATGGCGCTGTTATAAGGGTGGTCCTCGTCCAGAGCTAGTATGTGCCAGCGACAGTGGGCGCGCAGCAGAGACAGACGAGCGCCTAAGCGTGGTACTCGACCCGAGGCACGAAACAGCTGTTCGCAGCCGTTCAAGCTGCTGTTCCTCATGAGATGAAATAAATACTTTGATAAATTCAAAGGTTTTTATTGTTACTGGTCGGAAAAGATAGTTCGGATAAGATAGGTATTATTAATCATTACTCGGTGAATAATCGCTGTATTTCAGCAATGATAAAAATACCGTCTCGGACATATCCCGTTCCCAGTCTCGGCTGACGCGCGGACCGCTGTGAATCCGCGCCATGGCGCAGGTCGCCGGCGCGGTGGCGGTGCACAGAGTAGCTCATTGTCGGACCGCTGTGAATCCGCGCCATGGCGCAGGTCGCCGGTGGCGGCGCACAGAGCAGCTGATGTCATTGGTGCTGCTGTCCACAGCGAGGCCGTCTCAAGTTATCACAAGCATACGTTATCTGCTGTTATCGGCACAACACACGACTGAAGCGCCATACCTCTGCGGCTGCATTGATAAGGCCAATGATGCACCGGCTATCGGCGTGCATAGGGACTATTTCCGTGAGCACTCTGTCAAAGACGAATACGAATGAGACCTGAACATCGCGCGAACTTTGGTCTCTCGAGCCGTGTGAGGCGGCTCGGGCCTCTCGCCCTGCGTTTTGTCCCAAGGTCGCGCTTCTGCGCGTGACAAAGCGTCGGCATGACTTCGTTTCTGGCGCCTGCACGGTCAGACGGTCCGGTCACTGTTGGCTCAGGTCCGGTCACTGTTGGCCCGGGTCCGGTCACTGTTGGCCCGGGTCTGGTCACTGTTGGCCCGGGTCTGGTCACTGTTGGCCCGGGTCTGGTCACTGTTGGCCCGGGTCTGGTCACTGTTGGCCCGGGTCTGGTCACTGTTGGCCCGGGTCTGGTCACTGTTGGCCCGGGTCTGGTCACTGTTGGCCCGGGTCTGGTCACTGTTGGCGCGGGTCTGGTCACTGTTGGCCCGGGTCTGGTCACTGTTGGCCCGGGTCTGGTCACTGTTGGCCCGGGTCTGGTCACTGTTGGCTCGGGCTCAATCTGGCCACGGGGACGGGTGCCGGAGTTCTGGTGCCGTAGGTCAGTCAGTCGGTCGGTCCCGGAGGGACTGTAACAGGTTGACGTTTCACTGAGATGCTATCAGGTCACCCGACCAGTGGGACAATGTAGCAGGTCACCCGGTTGGTGGGACACTTTATCAGGTCGGCCGGTTGGTGGGGGCCCGGGCGGAGTGTCTTCTCCCCTCGACTGCCTGGTGACCGACTACAGGAGCTGGTCTCCTCCGGGGACCAGCCGACGTCTCAGTGATGGCCAGGTCCGGGCTGACGGTAGGTCCGGCTGTAGGTGGGCCGTTTCGGGCCGGCCAGCTGCCCCCGATATCCTGCCGACGCTGCAGGTCACACTGGGTCACGGCCGCGGGCTGGAGCGACCCGGGCCGCGCGCGTCTGCAGCCGCCCAGACCGGGCGCCGCCTCGCTGCCGGTCAGATGTGGACCCTCACGGCCTGTTCGTGGCCCCCGAGCGGCGGCCGCCGCGATTGTGCAATGTTCCGGGAGCTGCAGTGCCCTGTTTCACCGTCGACTGGGTTGCAGCGTTTGCAGTAACTCGGTGGCGGAGTGACCCAGTTAGTGAGGTCGCACTGAAAACTTTTTTACTACCTCCTGGAGAGTTCATTTTCATCAAACCCGCAAGATAATAGTATATTGAAAGGGTAACTCGCTGCTACCATTATGTGCATAGTAACGGTACGTGGTTAATATGAACTTATTCGCCAGCGAAGAGTATTATTACCATGTAAATATCAATATTACTCTCGCGATCCAGAACATCACGAAAACTCTTTCCTCCTGGGTATCGTGACTCGGGTACAGATAGTCGTTTCATGCGTGGATCTTGTTTACCCTCGTGAAGATGATATTTGAAATGGAAACAATCAGCCAATCAGAAACGAGATCGGCCGTTTGCGGTTTGAAGGCCGCGCGCATCTGTCAGTTTTCGGCCGTTGGTCTCCGAGAGCGGATGTGAGCAGTGTCGGTGCCGCGCGGCGTGGCCGTTGGTGATTGTGCTTGTGTGTTGTTCATCGCCTATAGAGCCTCTGTGGACATTTTATTGTAAGTACCGATGTGCTAGAGCATTGCGTGCCGTTGAGTGGTGCTAATTTGACCTGGTTAACAGGACCCCGTGCACGGCCACGTGGCCTAGTGTTGTGAGTACGTACATTAATTTTGTTGTGATGCTACAAGTTTATGCATTTTGTTGGTGACTTTGAAAAAGCCTTGCACTGTAGTGATCCAGTCTCATTATCTCACGCAGACGGGCGACCACCCAGGACCGCCGTCGCTCACTTCAAATATTGTGCGCTCTGCCTAATCCAATATGAGGGCGCTGAATGTCTTGTATTCATATTCAAATTGCATTCAAGTTGTATCGTGGTGTTTATTTACCGCTTGTGCATTGCTGAACGCTTTGTATAAATTTGTATGAATAAGTGAAGAGTCTCACAATGTTCATGGTTGGTGTGCCCCTCGTATTGTTTGTACGGAAGCCAAATATACCTACATTGTTGCTCTTGAAACATTTTTTTTTTTTAGTTGGTGAGCTCCGGTTAACAGAAGCTTCGTGAAGCTTCTGAAGGAAGCGTCTGTGGGTCTGTTACCATCCTCTGGGGGGTTTACACTAAAGGAAAGAGTAAACATTACCATGTGACAAAGGGTAAGCCATAAAAATATACTCTCTGTAGGAGGGTAAAGCACAGAGTAGATGATGCGTTACTCCCTAAAAAAGGGTTCCGTTAAAGATTTACCCTTTCAAAGAGTGTAACCCAAAAAATGTTACACTCTAGACAAGAGTAAATCAAAAGATTTTACCATTCATAAGATGGTAAAAAACGTCTGTGTGTCATGTTACCCCTCCCTGGCGAGTTTACTCTTCATGAAAGAGTAAAATTTACCATCTGGAAGGTGGTAAAAAACGTCTGTGTGTCAAGCTACCATGCTATGGCGGGTTTACCCTTCAGAAAATGGTAAAAAAGTTTTCAGTGCGTGGCTGGCGCTGGCTGTCTTCGAGGTAGTGAACGCTGAACACCCTATCGAGGCACTGAACGGCTCAGGGCTCGGAAACAATTATAAGAATTAGAAACTGCTCGGACCGAAGTCCCTTGCCGTCGGTGATCGATCGTTGAAGGTCTTCACGAAGGAGATTGGCGGGAGAGCTGGGTGGACGATGGGGAGTTGCTCGGAGCCGCGGTCACTGGCTGTGCAGACTGAGGGCGTCTGAGCCGGCGGCGTCGAGGACGGGCGGTGACTCGCCGGGCTCGGCTGGCCACGGCCCGGCACCGTTACCGCCCGCTTCCTGCGGGGCCGGGCCACCGCCCCCGGCCCCGGCCCCGCGCCGCCAAACTGCCGGCCGGAACAGACGGCCGTCGTCGCTCCGAGTCCGGTCCTGCCAGTGACAGCAGCCGACTCCATCTCAGCACACGAGACCCGCCCGCCCGCCTGTCCTCAAAGCTGCTGATCCGCACACTGGCGGCGCCCCGGCCGGTCCCGGGTGAGCGGGCGGCGTCAGTTCCCTACCGGGCCATCCCACGCACTCCGTGCTGCCGCCGGCGACTGGGGCGTGCCTGGGGCGACAGAGGGCCGCCGCCGAGCCACACCTGGGGCGACAGAGGGCCGCCGCCGAGCCACGCCTGGGGCGACAGAGGGCCGCCGCCGAGCCACGCCCGCCGCCGAGCCACGCCTGGGGCGACAGAGGGCCGCTGCCGAACCACGTGCCTGCACCTCTCTGGACCAGGCCGGGCCGAGTCAGCCAGTGCTCGGACGGCCCTGTCACAGGAGCAGCCGCCGCGCTGTCAGCTGAGCTGGGCCGGCCGTGCCCCGGTCCCGGCCGGGCGGGTGGCCGCTGGGGCGCGCCGGGAGCGGTGACATGGGTCAGACGGCCGACTGGTGAGTGGCCGGACCGAACGGTCCCGACCCGGGCCGAGTGGCGCCGTCCGGCCTCCGCAGCCGCCGGAACTGCCAGAGCCGGGCCGGCGGCGGCCTCAGCAGCGGCTCGGACGGCATCAGTGGCGGCCCGGTGCGGCGGCTGTCTCGGGCCGTCCGCCGGGTTCATGGCACTGGTGCACCGGGCGCTGTGCACTGCGGCCGTCGACCCCCGGCGCCGCCCGGGCCCACAGCCGGCCGGCGCCGCGCGCCACACATCGCCGCGCCGGCAAACTCGGCCGTCGACAGCGGCAAAAACGGCGTGCCGCCGCCGCATCCGGCGCGCGCCACGTGGGCCGGCACTCCCACGGGGCCCGGCGTGCCCGCGAAACACGGCCGGGTCCGGCGGGCGCCGGCGCTGGGCCGCTGACCGAGTGGCGCGCTGACGGCGCCGCCCGCCGACCGCCGACCGGTGACGGCGCCGCCCGCCGACCGGTGACGCCGCCAGCGAGCGTCAACGACCGGCAAGGTCGAGCGTCCCTCCGCCGCGCCGGTCCACCGGAGCGGTGGTGAGTTACTCACCTCGGAGGCTCTGAGGTGAATAACTCACGATCTGCAGCTGTGCTGTGGGCATTACCGCCCAGAAAACCCGCTGCGCCGGCCGGCCCGCCTGGGAGTCCCCGTGCCGTTCCGCGCCGTAGGTACCGTTTTCGTACCGTTTCCGTACCGTACCGATACAGCAGCTCAGCTCAGTCTCCGGGGCCAATGCACTCGGCTCTGGACGGCCCACCTACATGGGCTGGCTGATGTTGCCGACCCGATTGTATGCATTTGGTGTGCACAGTGCACACATTGCACAGTTTCACTTAACATTGCACACATTGGTTGGATGCTGGAGCTCTATTGCATAACTTTTTTTCTGGTGGAAAGAGATCAATGCATGTTTTAGTGTGTGGCTTCCGTTTTAGCAGTCATCAAAACTTTAACGTCCGTTGTTCACAGTTTTGTATCCATGCAACACTTAATAATCGTCAGAACGGCATTAAAAACCAAAAAGTAATACCTAATACGTCAAGTACCGAGTTAGGGTGGGTGTGTCGCTGACACATTCTGACCTGCTCCTCTCACCGTTGCAGAGTTGGCGCTGCGCGGGGCGCAGGAGCAGCAGCACATCTCTCTGGACTGTTTCGAGTTCATCAAGAAGCTGGGCTCCGGCGGTAAGTAGCCACCATTGCGCTGCCTTCCTCCCGACTGTTTGTGTTATCGGCACACACTGCAGCTGAGCACCTTGTCCGGATCGTTGGGCCCGGGCCGCGCTGCACGGGCCTTTCTCCCGTGCCCCGCCTTCTACTGTGCTTGTCCGGTGCTGTCCCTTCTGTCTGTCCGGCGCTGTTTGGGCTCGCTGTCCGGCGCTGTACCTTCTGTCTGTCCGGCGCCGTCTGGGCTCGCTGTCCGGTGGTGTCTGGGTTTACTGTCGGGCGCTGTCTCTACTGGCTGTCCGGCGCTGTTTGGGCTCGCTGTCCGGTGGTGTCTGGGCTCGCTGTCCGGTGGTGTCTGGGTTTACTGTCGGGCGCTGTTTCTACTGGCCATCCGGCTCCGTCTGGGCTCACGGGGTGTGTTGTATCGCGGTGGGACGGCCGGCCCCCGTCAGCCACGACCAGCTCCGTCCGTCCGCGGGTCGCCTGTGCAGAGAGGTGGACGGAGGCTGCCGCGGCAGGTCCCCAGTGCTGGTCTGGGGCCCGGTCCCTCCCCTCCGCGTCCTACAATCTACACTCTACAGACACCGCCCGGGGCCACGGAAGGTAACGGACTCTACCGCCACTCCCGCCCGTCGACCTGGCGGCGGGACCCGGCGGACCCCTTCCGTGGGCCATCCTCGCCCCGGGCGGCGGAAACCACTGGGATCCTTCCACCCCCGCCTTATGACCCGAGGCGGCGGAACTCACTGGGCCTCTCCGGCACACACATAGACACCCTCACCCGAGGCGGCGGAACTCACTGGGCCTCTCCGGCACACACACATACACCCTCACCCGAGGCGGCGGAACTCACTGGGCCTCTCCGGCACACACACATACACCCTCACCCGAGGCGGCGGAATTCGGCAAGCCTCCCTGTGGCAGTGGTGGCCGGTGGGGCTGGGCAGCGGGCTGGTTTGGGCGCTGCCGCCGGCCGCCGCGCCGCGCTGGCGAGCGTTGACCCCCCGAATGTCGGCCAGTGTACCGGCCAGCGGCCCGGCCCGGCCCGGCGCTCCCCTGAGCCGCCAGTGGCACGGCACGGCCGTGGTCACTTCTCTGAGCCGCCGGCCGCCCATCCGTGGCTCCGCTGCGGCAGCCGTGCTGGAGGGATCGGCTCTGCTGGTGGGGCCGATGGAGAGGTGCGCAGCTCAGCAGGGGTAAGGGCTGGCGCGGCCGGTGTCAGGAGTGTTTTTGTGTTATGTCGGCAGAGCACAGGGGGCGGGAGGTAACACGCTGCAGAGCACAGGGGGCGGAGGTAACACGCTGCAGAGCACAGGGGGCGGAGGTAACACGCTGCAGAGCACAGGGGGCGGAGGTAACACGCTGCAGAGCACAGGAGGCGGGAGGTAACACGCTGCAGAGCACAGGAGGCGGGAGGTAACACGCTGCAGAGCACAGGGGGCGGGAGGTAACACGCTGCAGAGCACAGGGGGCGGGAGGTAACACGCTGCAGAGCACAGGGGGCGGGAGGTAACACGCTGCAGAGCACAGGGGCGGGAGGTAACACGCTGCAGAGCACAGGGGGCGGAGGTAACACGCTGCAGAGCACAGGGGCGGGAGGTAACACGCTGCAGAGCACAGGGGGCGGGAGGTAACACGCTGCAGAGCACAGGGCGCGGAAGGTAACACGCTGCAGAGCACAGGGGCGGGAGGTAACACGCTGCAGAGCACAGGGCGCGGAAGGTAACACGCTGCAGAGCACAGGGGCGGGAGGTAACACGCTGCAGAGCACAGGGCGCGGAAGGTAACACGCTGCAGAGCACAGGGGGCGGGAGGTAACACGCTGCAGAGCACAGGGGCGGGAGGTAACACGTTGCAGAGCACAGGGGGCGGAGGTAACACGCTGCAGAGCACAGGGGCGGGAGGTAACACGCTGCTGGTGGTGCCGGCTGGTGATGTGGTGCTGGGCACACTGTGCACTCAGCACTGATCACTCGGGTACTCGGTGACCGTCTGGGGCCGTGCGGCGGGCTGTGCAGGTGACGTGCGCTGTCCGTCCGTCCGTCCGTCCGTCCGTCCGTCCGTCCGTCCGTCCGCGCTCTATTCTGTCGGGTGGAGGCGCCAGGCCCAGCTGGGAAGTCGGGTGGAGGCGCCAGGCCCCTGTCTGGCGGTCCTGTTATCGTCTGAGTGGGGCCGCGGCGGCTGAAGCGGCCGATCGGGCAGAGTCGAGCGCCCCGGCGTCACTAACTCCAGTGTCGACATCGGACATTTCACGACTGGGGGAAGCCTGGGCCTGATAAGCACCAGACTAAGGCATATAGGCACCCTCAGGATCTGTTTTGGCTTAGAGGAATGCGGCTGTTTTCTTGTCCGGCGCTCAGATAATGCCTTCACGACAATCGAACAGAACGAAGGGCTCTGCCGTAAGACGACCTAAAGTCGATGGTATGTCCCGTTGTCACTTGCTGTTTACGAATTCGCGATATGGCATACGACGGTAGGACGGACCGCACAACTTCTGACAATTCTGACAGAGCGCCTCAGCGCGAGGTAGAACGTCACGCAGCCCGGCGGCGCCGACTACCAGCGGCGGGGCGGGCGCAGTGGGGTCCCGATCCTCCGCGCTCCGCTCCCGGCCACAGCGGCCACGCGCGCCACCGGCTGACGGAGGCCGCCCGAGGCCATCGCTCTGCCTCCCCCGGCCCTCTGCCCCGCCCGGCGCCCGGCAACAAGCCGTGTGCGTGTGCGTCGGCGGAGCAGCCGGTCAGGCCGCCGACGTCGCCCGGCCGTGCCGAGCGCGGTCGATAGCTGAGGCCTGAGGGCGCAGAGCTGCAGCGGCCAGTCACCGGCACACAGGTGACACACAGGTCACGGACAGGTCACGGACAGGTCACGGGAGACACAGGTGGCAGGCCGGACACCGTGCAGGTCTGACGGTGCGCACGGAATAGCTAATATAGTTAAGACCAGGTCGTGATCAGAATTCACGAGTTAGTCAGAGTTCAGATGCGTCCCGTCACCAGCGGTACACAATTCACATGGACTGAACACGACACTGAAGAATCTAGTGTCTGCGCACACAGGCGAGCGTTTGTGGCGGTCCGACGCGTTCGTTCCGGAATGTTCGATGGGCTACGCAGCTCGAGCGGCAGCCGGGCTGGAGGGTTACATCATCCCAGCTGTGGGCCAGTGGCCGCGTCAGGCGCGGCGAAGGCACCGACCCGCAGCCCGGCGCGGCGGCGGGCGCAGCCGTGGCTCGTTGTCGGGCCAGCGCGCCGTGCGGCTCTGGTTGGCACCTCGCGCGGCGCCCGGCCGGCCGCTGCCAGAGTGGCGCTCCCCGCCCCTCCCCACCCCCAGTCAGCTGATTGCCGGCCGGCCGGCGCGGCGGTGACGCGGCGGACGGCCCGGCGCGGCGGATGATTCGGCGGCGGACGGCCCGGCGCAGTGGGTACCTATATGAGTCGGCGGCCGGCAGGTCGGCCGGTCGCGGAACCTCCCTGATTCACCAGTTTCCGGCAGCTCGTTGGGCTGTATGGCTGATCACGTGTCAGACACAAGGGCAGCAGTCCGCCTTCAGCCGGGCGCCGAGCTGGTGCGCCGGAAAAGGTTCCCCTCAACTGGGGAGGACGGGACTTACCGTGCTGAGAGGTACGCGCCGGCAGGAACCCCGTCCCGATCGACAAGCGGTGCGTTGTGGCGCTGCCGGGGAGGCCCGAGTCTCGGGAAGGGGGGGAGGAGGGACCGTGGCGTGAGCAGACAGACGGGCGAGCGTTCAGTTTGTTCCACCGACCGCTGGCCACAGCAGCTCCACGGGCAGTGTCCGCTGGGTGCGGTCCTGTCTCGGTGGATCCCGCCGGCTCTCCCGGTGGATCCCGCGGTCTCTCTGTGGATCCGGCCGCCGCTGTCGGTGGATCCCGCCGGCTCTCCCGGTGGATCCCGCTCACTTTTCGCGGCTGGGCGCAGCCAGACCCGTTGTTCCGGGCTCGTCTGTGTGCGCCATGGCCCCTGGACAGTGGGCAATGTGAGTATAGTCGGCCGGCGTTGCAGGGGACTCCGATCTGGGACGCGCCGCCCGCCTGCGTGCTACTGCTGCTGCATGACCCAATTTGCCCCGCCGACGAGCAGCCGGACGGCTATTTAAACTCGGTCGATGACAAGGACGAAGGACATGGTCGGCGCGGTGACGGAAACTGTGCGCCGGCCAGCTCCGGCCACCTCCGGCCACCTCCGGCCACCTCCGGCCAGCTCCGGCTAGCTCCGGCCAGCTCCGGCCAGCTCCGGCCACCTCCGGCCACCTCCGGCCTGCTCCGGCCACCTCCGCGTCCCTCGGAACTCCGCGGTCGCAAAGCGATACTCATTGTACGAACACCATGTAGTGAGCGCGTATTACCCGCCAGGGCCCGCAGTGAAACAAGGTCCGGACCGCACAGCGGTTTTCCTTCTTAATTCTGATCTTCTCGGTTTTCGCCTGACATGCGGGCATACGATAGTTTCCGAGTGACATCAGCTTTCATCGCACATAATACGCTTCTCGATCGCTGAGTGACGTGGGCAATGGGATCCTGCAGAGTTGAATGTGGCAATTTTGTCGGATGATGGGGGTTCGCTGCTGTGGTGTAAGCTGTTCGACGTCTGACGAAACACTCCGTCAGGTGAATGGCCTGACTCGGTGCGTACACGTAATGGATCCACCGTTACGTAATGGATCCACCGTTACTTTGCGCGGTACTTATAAGACAGACTGTACAGTCTGTCTTAAAAGTATCGCGCAAAGTGACGGGATCCATCAAGCCTGACCTAGGAAGGGCCTGCTATAATTTGAAAGTCACCGAACCTATTGACCTGGGGAATGGACGAGGATGTCAATTGCTTGGCTGACTCAAATTTAGCAGGCCCTTCCTCGGTCAGGCTTGATGGATCCACCGTCACTTTGCGCGGTACTTTTAAGACAGACTGTACGTACATAAATGGTGCAAAGGAGCGAGGCTGCTAGCAATGTGGGATCACCATTCACCGTATCCTCTCTCTCTCTCTCTCTCTCTCTCTCTCTCTCTCTCTCTCTCTCTCTCTCTCTCTCTCTCTCTCTCTCTCTCTCTCTCTCTCTCTCTCTCTCTCTCTCTCTCCTCTCTCTCTCTCTCTCTCTCTCCCTCTCCCTCTCCCTCTCCCTCTCCCTCTCCCTCTCCCTCTCCCTCTCCCTCTCCCTCTCCCTCTCCCTCTCCCTCTCCCTCTCCCTCTCCCTCTCCCTCTCCCTCTCCCTCTCCCTCTCTGTCTCTCTCTCTCTGTCTCTGTCTCTGTCTCTGTCTCTCTCTCTGTCTCTCTCTCTGTCTCTCTCTCTGTCTCTCTCTGTCTCCCTCTGTCTCCCCTCTCTCCCCCTCTCTCCCCTCTCCCCCTCTCTCTCTCTCTTTCTTTCTTTCTCTCTCTCTCTCTCTCTCTCTCTCTCTCTCTCTCTCTCTCTCTCTCTCTCTCTCTCTCTCTCTCTCTCTCTCTCTCTCTCTCTCTCTCTCTCTCTCTCTCTCTCGTCATGGGTAGCGTGGACTCCTGGGGACTCACGTTAGGTACTGCAGAGTGCGGACCCGTCAATTTTTTCCAATTTTCCCACCATCTTTTCTGACACGATGAACCTGTTATCCCATCTGCACCATCCCCTCTCCCTCCCCACGGGCCGGCCGTCTGCTGCATCGTATGCCCTCCCTCTCCCCACCTCTCCCGGACCTCCCAGCTGTTCCTGAGCTCTGACCTCTTCCAGCTGTTCCTGAGCTCTGACCACCTCACCTGTTCGTGAGCTCTGACCTCTCCCAGCTGTTCGTGAGCTCTGACCTCTCCCAGCTGTTCCTGAGCTCTGACATCGCCCAGCTGTTCCCGAGCTCTGACCACCTCACTGCAGGCCGTCGGCATGAAGGGACATCAGCGTTGCGGGCGGGGTACGGCAGCGTTGCGGGCGGGGTACGGCAGCGTTGCGGGCGGGGTACGGCAGCGTTGCGGGCGGGGTACGGCAGCGTTCTGGACGGGGTACGGCAGCGTTGCGGGTGGGGTAAGGCAGTGTGTGCTGGTGCAGAAGTCTGACCCCCCCCCCCCCCTGGCCGTCGGCAGGGGGTACGGCAGCGTGGTGCTGGTGCAGAAGTCTGACCCCCCCCCCCTCCCCCCGCCGTCGGCAGGGTACGGCAGCGTGGTGCTGGTGCAGAAGAAGGGCGGCCGCGACCACCGCGCCCACTACGCGCTCAAGATGACGGCGCTGAACCGGGCGGCGCTGGTGGAGCGCGACATCCTGCCGCGCCTCCAGAACGTACCCTACACGCTCGACCTGGCCTACGCCTTTTTCGACGCGCGCCTCGGCAAGGCCTTCCTCGTGCTGCGTGAGTACCGCCTGTCTGTCTGTCCGCGCTGTCCGTCCGCGCTGTCCGTCCGTGCTGTCCGTCTGTGCTGTCCGTGCTGTCCGTGACGTCTGTCCGTGCTGCCCGTGCTGTCTGTCTGTTCGTGCTGCCCGTGCTGTCTGTCCGCACTGTCTGTCCGTCCCTGCTGTCCGCGCTACTGTCTGTCTGCGCTGTCTGTCCGCGCAGTCCGTTCGTGCTGTCCGCGCTGTCTGTCCGTGCTGTCCGCGCTGTCTGTCTGTCCGCGCAGTCCGTCCGCGCTGTCCGTCCGTCACGTCTGTGTTACCGGTGACGGTGCCGTCTATGTCGGTACCAGCCGCGCGGACCGGGTCGGCTGTGGTGACGCAGTGCGAACGGTGTGCTCTGAGCCGTTTTTGTGGAAGCCGCTGTTTCCGGGTGGCGGCCTCGGCCAAATCGATCTGACCCGTGGCGCGTGATGCTCCGTTCGCTCCGCCAGCGCAGGGTGATGACCCGGGGTAGCGGGCCCTCTTACAGGCACTGCACCTTTGACCGTCCTCTGACACACACGGAGGGATGCCCGTCTCGGGACCCTCCCCTACCCTCCCCCCTGAGCCGGGGCCGGGCGCTGTGCACGTGCACGCTGGCGGGGGAGCGGGGAGGGCGCCGGCCGGCCGTCGGCCCACTCCCCGCGCCGTTCGATCCTCGGTCCGCACGCGGCTGTCCCCGTCGGCAGAGACGCCGGCGGCCATCGACCGGCGCACCTCTGCCCCATCTGGGTCACAGGCGGCCACCGGCGGACGGCCGCCGCCACCAGCTGATCGGGGCTGCTGCGTGCCGAGTCCGAGAGCCGTCAGCTGCACCGCCACGGCCGCCACCACCAGCTGATCAGCGCGTGCCGAGTCTGAGAGCTGTCAGCTGCACCGCCAGCCCATGGTGGCAATGGGTGCAGTGCACGAGCCGGACTATTCGGGCTTTACCGACGCACACCGCCTAGCGGCAACATTTACACACTTGACGTTTTTGTTTTCACATTTCATTTCATGTTTTTTTTTTTTTCGATCGGGACCTGGCCTATCGATCAAGGTTTTTCGTATTATGAGTCGTGCGGAGCCGGCCGGCCGGCGCAGGGACATCTCGGGTCACGGGACTCCAATCACGCCGTATTTCGGCAAACAAAGCCCAGCGCTGCGGTGACCTCGAATCGACCGAGAACTAACCTCTTTGTGCGACCGCCTGCCGTAGGAGACAAAGAGACGAGCTGGTTTTTCACTTGGCTCAGGAGGTTTGTGGAAAAAGAGTGCCGAAGTGCGCAGCGCAGCTACGCCAGGAGTCAGGGGGAGCGTCGTGTCTGTCCGCTGTCCACCGTGCTCTGTCGTGTCTGTCCGCTGTCCGCCGTGCTCTGTCATGTCTGGCCGCTGTCCGCCGTGCTCTGTCGTGTCTGTCCGCTGTCCGCCGTGCTCGGTCGGAGCTGGCCGGGCCGGCGGCCGCGCGGATTCCCTCTGGCTCGGTCGGTCGGTGCCCTCACGCACCCGGCGCTCCGACAGTAGGTGCGAGGTCGTCCTGTCGGGGTCTGTGACCCGGCCGTTATGCAAGGTGCGCAGCGTGCGGCGGCGCACCCGTGTCGGCGCTCACAAACAGCTCGGCAGGCCGACCTTGGCTGCCGAGCGGGCCGCCGAGCCCAGGGTCGGTGCGCCGCGCCCGAGACGCGGCCAAAGTCGAGACCGAGAGACCGAAAAAAAAAACGCCCGTCGTGGCGGCCGGGAGTGTGACGACGTCATCGGTCTGTCGAGAGACTGGGCTGGGACGGGCGCGGAGCTGGCTCGGGACGGGTGCGCGGGCCACCTCAGACCACCTCAGCCCCCCCCCCCGCGCCAGGTGGCGAGCAGAGCTCACCTGTGTTCGCAGAGGCCAGAGGCCCGCCGCGGGCCAGCAGGTGGCAGCGAGGCGGCCAGTCCGCTCTCAGGCCGCTGGGTGGGTGGGCAGAGCGGCCACAGGCAGAGGGAACTGGCGGCTCGCTGACCCGGCCGGCTGGTCACACCCAATACCTACACCCCACAGCCCGCAGTCCGAGTCGGTGCGCGGCGCTCCGGCCTGCCGGGAGGGCGGAGCGGCACGGGAGGGGAGCCGAGCCGGCCGGCCCGGCAGTGCAGCGTTCCACCGCTGGCTGTCCGGCAGTGGAGCGTTCTGTACCGCTGGCTGTGGCGCCGCCTGGGCTCCTGACACGGCCGGTGCCCTCTGGACACGCGGTCTGGACCAGGGGCTGTTTACGGCCAGCTGGTCGGACGCGGCGGGCGGTGCGCCCCGTCCCCCCTGTTCGGGTGACGCCGGTCAGAGGTCGCCGCTCAGCCGGCTGAGCCAGTGGCCACTATCCGCGCGCCGCGCCGTCCCGTGCAGTGCCGTGGTGTAACCATATACCGAGCCGAGATGTGCAGCGCCGTTTCCGCGCGCGGTCAGTTTCCTGTCGCCGGTGACAGGACGGTACAGTGGCCCATCTTTATCTGATAGCGCCTCCATGACCCGATCTCCACGAGGGCTGCCTAATTGGCTTCTCTGCCCCCGCGGTCGCTCATTCTCGGGCAGCGCGTTGAACGGATATAGAACAGTAGGCATGAGGTTCCAGGAAGCAGCGAGATAAAATGAGTTTCCCGTAACCAGATCCGCGCCGCCATTTGTGTCACGTCATTCGATTTATAATTCTCTGCAGTCCTGGACACCGTTCACTGGGCAATGGGCCTCTCCTTGACATTTAATTGTGTGTGCAGTATGCACTGTGCGGCGGCCTGCTTCCACTCTGTCTGCGCAGCTGCGGCCGGTGTCAGTCCCTCAGTGCGGCCGGTGTCAGTCCCTCAGTGCGGCCGGTGTCGGTCCCTCAGTGCGGCCGCGCGGTTTATGTCGGTCCCTCAGTGCGGCCGGTGTCAGTCCCTCAGTGCGGCCGGTCCCTCAGTTCGGCCGGTCCCTCAGTGCGGCCGGTCCCTCAGTTCGGCCGGTGTCAGTCCCTCAGTGCGGCCGATGTCAGTCCCTCAGTGCGGCCGATGTCAGTCCCTCAGTGCGGCCGATGTCAGTCCCTCAGTGCGGCCGGTGTCCCTCAGTGCGGCCGGTGGCGGTGTCAGTCCCTCAGTGCGGCCGGTGGCGGTGTCAGTCCCTCAGTGCGGCCGGTGTCCCTCAGTGCGGCCGTGCGGCTTATGTCGGTCCCTCAGTTCGGCCGGTGTCTGTCTCTCAGTGCGGCCGTGCGGCTTATGTCGGTACCTCAGTGCGGCCGGTGTCAGTCCTTTATGTGCGGCCGGTGTCAGTCCCTCAGTGCGGCCGGCCGATGTCAGTCCCTCAGTGCGGCCGGCCGGTGTCAGTCCCTCAGTGCGGCCGGTCCCTCAGTTCGGCCGGTGTCGGTCCCTCGGTGCGGCGTCAGTCCCTCAGTGCGGCCGGTGTCAATCCCTCAGCTGCGGCCGGTGTCAGTCCCTCAGTGCGGCCGGTGTCAGTCCCTCAGTGCGGCCGGTGTCGGTCCCTCAGTGCGGCCGTGCGGTTTATGTCGGTCCCTCAGTGCGGCCGGTGTCAGTCCCTCAGTGCGGCCGATGTCAGTCCCTCAGTGCGGCCGGTGTCCCTCAGTGCGGCCGGCCGGTGTCGCTCCCTCAGTTCGGCCGGTGTCAGTCCCTCAGTGCGGCCGATGTCAGTCCCTCAGTGCGGCCGGTGTCCCTCAGTGCGGCCGGTGGCGGTGTCAGTCCCTCAGTGCGGCCGGTGTCCCTCAGTGCGGCCGTGCGGCTTATGTCGGTCCCTCAGTTCGGCCGGTGTCTGTCTCTCAGTGCGGCCGTGCGGCTTATGTCGGTACCGCAGTGCGGCCGGTGTCAGTCCTTTATGTGCGGCCGGTGTCAGTCCCTCAGTGCGGCCGGCCGGTGTCAGTCAATCAGAGCTCCCCCCTCCTGGCGGGGGAGGCGCTCGGACACAGCACGCGGACACCTGCGGGCCGGTCTGGGCGGGCGGCAGTCGGGGTCGGCCGGCAGCTGGGCGGTCGCGCCGCCGCCGGTCGGTGGTGCGGGCTCACTGAGGGGTGTGTCAGCGCCGTGCCGAGCCGGCTGCGCAGCTGAGCGAGCCGCGGGCCGGTGTCGGCGGCCCCCGTCGGTTCCCGGCCCTGCACACACTGCTCCACCGCCGCGGGCCGGTGTCGGCGGCCCCCCGTCGGTTCCCGGCCCTGCACACACTGCTCCGCCGCCGCGGGCCGGTGTCGGAGGCCCCCGTCGGTTCCCGGCCCTGCACACACTGCTCCGCCGCCGCGGGCCGGTGTCGGAGGCCCCCGTCGGTTCCCGGCCCTGCACACACTGCTCCGCCGCCGCGGTATGGAGCGTCGGTCGATGGAGGGACGGGCCGCGGGGAGCGGGTCGTCAGCCGGCCGCCGGGGAAGGCCGGAGACGCGGCCCGTGCCGGCTCCACCTCCGCTCCGGCCACTCGCCGCGCAGTCCCGCTGACGCGTCGCAGAATCAATCGGCGACCCCCGCATACCTACCGGGTAACACCCAGGCGAGATGCAGCCGCTCCGAATTACTGGTATCGCGCACCTGCATGCCTGACTCCGTTTCTAGCATCTCCCTGCTGACCAGCTGCTCCTTCTGACACTGGCGTTGTTGTGGCTGTGGTGTTGCTGTTGTTGGCCATGAGCTGGTGTCGCTAACACTGGTGTTGTGGTTGTTTTGCGCAGCGTTCGCGGCCGGTAAGGACCTGTTTTCGCTGGCCGGGCCGTGCACCAACCCCAAGAAGAAGCCCGGCTACCTGCGCCGCATGTTCCACCACAACTACATCAAGTACCTGCACCGGGTCCGGCTCATCCTGGCAGAGCTCTGCGTGGCCATCAGCTACCTCCACAAGGTAAGCGACCGCGGAGTTCAGTCACCTCCACAGGGTATGGGGCCACCAGTCACCTCCACAGGCCACAGAGTAGGGGCCACCAGTCACCTCCACAGGGTATAGGGGCCACCAGCCACCTCCACAGGGAGGGTAGGGGCCGGGAGTTCAGTCATCTCCATAGGGCAGGGGCCGGGAGTCCAGTGACGGTCCCACCTGACAGCAAAAGATAGGTATACATACCTACTGGCCCGGCCGTTAAATTTGCAGCTTCATTGAAGGTTCGACTCTGTTCGATCATCATTATTTTTCTTGATTTAAGTCTCGATAAAGGGGTGCACTGCTCATGGGGCGGTGTTGACTTCGTGTCTAAGTCTCGATAAAGGGGTGCACTGCTCATGGGGCAGTGTTGACTTTGCGATTGTGTCACATTCTATATGCGGCCTCGATCGGCGCCCTGTGCCCTGTCATATACAGTCGGCGAGTGTTCTCTCTGACCGACGGCTCCGCTGCCGGCAGCTGAACATAATGTACCGCGACCTGAAGCTGGAGAACATCCTGGTCTTCGGCGACGGGCACATCCGGCTGGCCGACTTCGGCCTCTCCAAACTGTTCGAGGACGGCGAGTCGGTAAGTCCCTCCCTCCCCTCCCTATCCCCAACTCTCTCTCTCTCTCTCTCTCTCTCTCTCTCTCTCTCTCTCTCTCTCTCTCTCTCTCTCTCTCTCTCTCTCTCTCTCTCTCTCTCTCTCTCTCTCTCTCTCTCTCTCTCTCTCTCTCTCTCTCTCTCTCTCTCTCTCTCTCTCTCTCTCTCTCCCTCTCCCTCTCCCTCTCTCTCTCTCTCTCTCTCTCTCTCTCTCTCTCTCTCTCTTCGGCTGGCCGGCTGGCCGCGGACGGGGCCCAATGAGCTGTGAGGGCCGCCCTGCCTCTCCACGCCAGGTCGCTGTTTCCCGGAAACTGATCACTATTGACCCTCATATTAGCCGCCGCCGCAGCCGGCGCAATATCATCGTATTAGCCGGGGACGGCCGGCATACGCCGGTCCCGACTCGGCCGCTTGAACCGACCCGTACTGACTGCTCTGACCGCCCGGCCCGCCGCAGTGTCTGACCGCCCGGCCCTGTCTCCGACAGACGCAGCTCACCGGAAAGACGGGCACGCCCGACTACATGGCGCCCGAGGTGCTGCAGTCGAGCGGCAGCTTCTGCGCGGCGACCACATACAGCTTCGTGAGTACCGACCGATCGCGGCGCCGCGCCCCGCCCCGCTCTGCCCGCCGCCCGCGCTCTGCCCCCAGTTCCCGAGCCTGTCCTTGTTCTCTGTATCTCGTCAGCCGGCCGGCTTCTCGGATGCTTCCATCGCGCAGCTGTCGGCTGTCGGGCTGCAGGACAGGTCCCCGGCGGCGGCAGGTGCGCTGCCACTGCCTCTGGTATACCGCCGCCGGCGCGCAGCGGGGTGGAGGGAGGGGGGGGGGGCGTCCGAGCTGTGCTGTTTCCAATGGGAGCGCTCGTCGTTCGGGCGGCCAGCCTGGCCCGGACGTCAGACCGGCGGCTTCAGGCAATGATCAGCTTACCAGCTAGGCGGCTGGGAAAATTCTGACCAGTCCTGACCTCAGTCCTGACCATATCTGACCCGACCTTGACGAGCATGTACTGACCATACCTGGCCCGATCTGGACCGAGCGAACCGACCTTATCACGACTTGAGTTCATCCTGCTCTCTGATTTGACCGAACCTTAGGTTCGGTCGTCCGGCCTGCCATCCCTAGCCCTCCCGGTGTTTCCATCCCTAGCCCTCCCGGTGTTTCCATCCCCAGCCCTCCCGGTGTTTCCATCCTCGGTCCGCCCGGCTCAGCGACCTGTTGTCAGGCGGCCGCAGCGGTCCGCTGCACGGCGGTGGACGGGGACGCTGCCTGCCGCGCCCCGGCGGCGTTTCCTCCCGGCCGACCGTTGCCAGCGCCGGTGGCGTTTCCTCCCGGCCGGCCGTTACCGGTGTCGGACGGTGGCGTTTCCTCCCAGCTGACCGTTGCCGGCGCTGACCTGGCCTGGGTGACCGCTGGCGCGCCGGCCACCAGTTGGGTCAGTGGGACGGCGTCACGGCGCACTGCGGCGCTGCGCAGTCGCCGACTCGAGTGTCAGCTGGACGGGAAGGGCGGCGGACGGGGAGGGCGGCGGCGGCGATCCGACGCTGGAGCGCAGACTCCGGTAGCGGGCAGATCCGGTTGCAACGGACAGTGCGCATTTTGGCCTCCTGCTCAGCATCAACGTGGGCAACAGTATACAGGTGTGTCTCTGAGAGACGATATTCGCAAAGGCGATTAGGCCACCCTGCGTGACGTCGCGTTTTGCCCCGGCCGCGGCACCCACCAGTCGGCGTCTGCGGCACGATTGGACTCTGGTATCGGCCGCGGCCGGGAAAAGTGAGAGTCGGAGAGCCGCTGACGCCGAACGGCGAGACTGTTCAGCCCCCCTGGACAGGACGCGCTATACAGCCTGCTGAGCCTTCTGGACAGGGTGTGCACTCACTCACTCAGGTGCACGCTGAACGCTGAAACAGCACCGCACGCTGAACCCGGCAGCAAAGCCAGTTGTGGCGCTAAGCCTTGCCGCGATCAGCGATCAGACGGCAGCCAGCCGGCCGATAGGTACTTATGATCAGACGTCCGTCAGTCGTCTTGTAACTAGTCAGTAATAGGGCCAACCTATCGGCGCTTAGGGGCGCGAATGATAGTGAGCGGATGGCCGGTACGAGGAGGGACTTTGCGCCGGCTCTCGCCCGCGCGCCGCGCCGTCCGAGTGGCTGCATCTGCTGACCGTGTGCGTCTGTCTGTCTGTCTGTTTCAGGAGGCCGACCTCTGGGGCCTGGGAGTGATCGCCTACGAACTGATCGTGGGACAGCTGCCGTTCCGGGGTCAGGAGATCTCCGAACTCGAATGGTCAGTACCCGCCTCCGTGGTCTCAATACATGGGTTCAAATGTACGTGCACTCTCTGAGCTCCTATATGTAGACCTGACACCGTATCCGTTTTGTCCTGTATCGGGTTCGGTTGTAGGTGATGTGGAACGGTGCAGCGCGGGTCCTGTTCTGCCTCTAAATTACCAATCTTGCACTGCTAATTATCCACGTGGAGGCCCGGCTGGCCGCGGAGTAGCAGAGTGACGGAGACCGGCGGACCCCGCTCTGAAGGTCACCCAGCGGTCCGGCCGGATCTGACCCGGGCCTGGTCACCGGTGTCCCGGGACCCGACGGCGTGTGCAGGGTCGCCCTGAGCTGCGTGTGAGCGCAGCGGAGCGGACGGGCGGCCGCTCGTCCCGGTGGCCCATGTCCCGCCGCTGCCCCCGGCCGCTCGTGCCAGTGGCCCATGTCCCGCTGCTGCCACCTCCCTCCCCCCCCCCCCGCTGGTGAAGGGATGGCGCGGGGCTGGCGCCTGCGGCCGAATCCCGCCCCTGCACAGTGGACAGTGCACCACAGTGAGCCGGACCGCCGCCGCCGCCGGACCGCCCGACGCCCCGGCTCAGTAAAAATAGCGGTCCGGCTGTCTCGGCGCGGCGCGGGTCCGGCTGTCTCGGCGCGGCGCGGGGCCGGCGCCCAGCGGCCACTTGGCCCCCGGCGGCTGCCGCGGCGGTGCGTGCGTCACACCGACTGACCCTGCAGTCGGCGGCGTCCACCCACCTCCCCTCCCCGCGGGTCCTACCCCGTCCACCCACCTCCCCTCCCCGCGGGTCCTACCCCGTCCACCCACCTCCCCTCCCCGCGGGTCCTACCCCGTCCGCCGACCTCCCCTCCCCGCGGGTCCTACCCCGTCCACCGACCTCCCCTCCCCGCGGGTCCTACCCCGTCCACCCACCTCCCCTCCCCGCGGGTCCTGCCCCGTCCACCCACCTCCCCTCCCCGCGGGTCCTACCCCGTCCACCCACCTCCTCTCCCCGCGGCCCGGCCCCTCAGTCACAGCCCCAATGTGGCAGAGCGTGACCGGTGACATGACCCTGCAGTTCCAGCGGGGCCGCCTCAGCACTGACACGCCTCCCCCCCCCCCCCCCCCACAGCGCCATCCTGGGCTGCGCCGTGGAGGTACCGCGCTCCTCAGTCGGTACTGACACCCCCTCCCCCCCCCCCACCCACAGCGCCATCCTGGGCGGCGCGGTGGAAGTGCCGCGCTCCTTCCTGGAGGAGAAGTTCGGCCGTCTGTCGCGCCAGGAGCGCGCCCTGGCGCTGGCCGCGCTCAGCTTTGTCAAGGCGCTGCTGCGCGTGTCGCCGCGCCACCGGCTCACCAACGACGACATCCCGCGACACATCTTCTTCCAGGTGGGTGACGCGTCCTCTCGGATAAGGACAGAGCCAGAGGGTCTGTGATCGTAATACTCTAGTGCGCTATCGTCTATTAATTTGATCGATGTCGTGAATCGCCTACTTTTGTTAGGTCATTTCATCGGCAACGGTTGGTAATAATTTCACGCTGTGCGCATTTTAGTCCCCAAGCGACACCTGCTTGGGACTCCAGTGTCCGGCGCTCGGTCTGACTCTAACCTGCCAACCCCCCGGCCCGGCCAGGACCTGGACTTTGAGCAGATCGCCACCGGCGACCACGACGACCCGCCGTTCGACATCCGACGCATCGACGCCGAGCGCGACGACTCACGCGAGGTGGAGCCGATCCCGGCCGCGTTCGCCGGCCGACTGTCGGTGGCCAGCAGCGCCAAGTCGCCCGACAAGAGCGGCTTCGACAGTCCCAGCCGGTTCGCCGTGAGTACCTACTGCACCGGCCGGCCGTCGCTGGTGGAGGGGGAGGGGCACCGGCGAGGGCTCAGCCGGCGCCATGTCCTTACAGATGTGTTTGGTCGAGACGAAGTCACGTAGTGTCCCTTCTCTTTCCTTACCGCAGTGGGAGCCGGCGCCATTTTGTTTTGAATGTGCTACGGGCCGTGCCGTTTTTGACCTAGCGTCGCCATTTTTTATCGTCCAATCGGACACGAGTACCTACCAGCCATTTTGTTTTCCTGGATGAAGACAGGACAGTGATACGCAGATTACCTAATGGTAATTCGGGGGAAGGTGTAGGTATTTCATGGCCCTAGCATCAGAGCTCGATAAAAGTGGTCGATATTGTAGTTGTCCTGTGTCTGAGCCCCACCTCTAACATCCCTGTGTGGCCGAGCAGCGGCCCTGTACCGTGTTTGTGCCGTGGTCGGACTGCAGAGCGCCGCCACGGCAGCGCTGCCGCTCACCGGCCGTCTCTGTCTCTGTGTGCCCGCAGAACTACCACTACGTGCGCCGGCCGTCCGGCTGGTACTTCTCCGACCTGGAGGGCTCCCAGTGCGAGGACAGCCGCGCCGACCTGCCCGACGGCGCAGGCTACGCCGAGGAGGCGGCGCTCGACCACAGCGCAGCCGAGGAGTCCTGCGTGGCCCTCGAGGACGTGCCGGGCCTGCTCGAGTACGAGGCCATCCTGGCCGAGGACACCAGCGTGGAGAGCGACGACCTGGTGCTGCTGATGCCCGGCGGCTGGCGGCCCGACCGCCACCCACACACGGACGTCGTCGCCTCGTCTGAGAGCCGCTCCGACAGCGCCATCGACGAGCGACACGTCGAGCACGACGCTGAGGCGGCGGCGCCTCCGATGGCCGCGTCCACGCCGGTCAAGACCGAGATTGAGTTGTTCCCGCGCGTGCGCGTGGTGCCGAGCCAGCCGTGCTCGCCGCCGCGCTGCTCGCCGGCGCTGCCAGCGGCGGCGCGCACCATGCCCAACCTGCTGCCGGTGGCCAGTGTCCGACGCCGGCTGCGACTGGACGAGGTGTCGCCGCCGCCGGCCGCGCGACGCGTCACCAGGAGACTGGCCGCCGCCGCCGTGTCCCCGCCGCGCCCGGAGGCCGACCACTCCGAGTCGTCGCTGTCGACGGTCCACCAGTCGTGCACGCCGTCCCGCTTCGAGCGCGACTCGCCGCTGTCGCCCTCACCAGAGAAGACGCCGCGTGCTGACCAGCACTCGCTGCGGCTCGAGGGCGACTCGTCCCTCTCCCAGTCAGCCGAGTGGAGCGGGGAGGCCTGGCAGTCGGTCTCCTCGGCCTACCAGTCGTGCACGCCGTCCCGCTTCGAGCGCGACTCGCCGCTGTCACCCTCACCAGAGAAGACGCCCGACCAGGAGCAGCGCTCGCCGGCGGCTGGCCGCGCCTGGGAGCTGCTCTCTCCGGCTGAACAGTCATGCACTTCGTCACAATTCGAGGGCGAGTCGTCCTTCCCTGTGACCCCGGAGAAGACTCTGAGCTCTGCAAGAGGCGCCGGCTCCAACAGAGGCTCACCAGCGGCTTCCGCATCGCGTTCTGTGATCAGAAGCTGGGCGCCCCCGCCCACGCCTCCGCCCCCGTCATCCGCCGAGCGGTCCTGGACGCAGGCCGAGCGGGATGCCGCTCTGTTCGTCTCGCCGGTCGGGATGCCCGCCGCCTCAGCGTTCGAGAAGGTCCACAACTCGGGGACGTCTGAGCAGCTCTCGGACGGCTCGGCTCGGCTGCACACTGCGCTCGGCCGGCCGCGAGGCTCTCCGGCGGGCCTTGCTGCGGCGGAGGCGCCGCCCCTGCGGCCCTCCATGAAACGCTCGTGGGTGTCGCCGTGGGACGAGGAGCCGGGGCCGTCGCGGGCGCGCCCCCGCCGCGCCGCCGCCGCTGCTGCCGCCGCCGCGCTGGCCGCCGACACCTCGCCGCACCTGCCGCCGAAGAAGAGGCGCCGTTTCCGCGCGCCGGAGCCGTCCGGGGCGCGGTGGCCGTCCCCGCTGGTCGGCGACGGGCCGCGCGTGGTGGTGGAGGCCGCCGGCCAGCCGCTGCCGGTCTACTCGCTGCGCAGCGCCGGCCGCCGGTGAGCGCCGGCGGCGGCGGCGGCGGCACCTCTGCAGCCGACGCGCCCTCTACAGTACAAAGGCTGCCGGCTGGCCGCGCTCAGCGCAGCTGCTCGGTGCGTTTTGTATGCGTGTGTGTGTAATTTGTGTTACGCGTGGTACGTGCAATGTTTAGCCTGCAGCGCCGTGTCCGTACAAAGAGGTGCTGGCGGAACCCCCATGGTCGCCTTGGTCCGCCCCACGGCGCCGGCTGTGTGATGCAGCCCATGTTAGCCCATGTGATGACGAAATGCTTAACAGACTGAGGTCTTTCACACGTAATCATGGTACCCGAGCTTTCCCGAATGACGTAGTCGAGTGAAGGAAGCGTGATCTTATCTTATCTAGCCAATTAGTCAACGGCCCCAGTCGTACACCAGTCATGCAGTGGAATCAGCCGACCGGTGTCTTTTACCGAGCCAAATCTCCATGTGAAACCAAAGCCAGAGCTCAGCCGTGCGCTATTGTTGCTCACAGAGGCAGTCGCGCGTCTGCCAGTGGTGTTCCGAGCCGCTCGGTCCGCCCGGCCGGCCTCTGAGGACGGCACAGAGCTCGCGGAGCGCGCACTATGAACGGTGCTGCGGACAGATGGAGCCGCGCGGTTTTTAATGTGATGCGGGCGAGTGTAATACCGAATGTTTCTATGTCTATACCACGGGTCCGAGTCCGAGTCACTGTCACAGGGTGTGTCTGAGCCATTTTCACGAGATCGGGCTGTGCCTGAGTGCTGGTCACCGGTGTGTGTGGGGGGGGGGGGGGCGCGCAGTCGGCGCTGTGGGACACCCGACTGGGTACGGGTGCACCCGTCTGCTGGCCAGACTACGGACCTGGAAGGCGCTGCCATCATCGCACGAGCATGGGTCATCTCTTGTACCACATTGTTGTATATATTTTCAATGAAAATATACAAAACTGACAACGAACTCTTTGGAAGAGGGAGAGAAGAATAAAGAAAAAGAGGAGAGAGGGGTGAGAGCAGAGAGAGGGAGGGAGACCAGAGGGCGAAGAGCGGCCAGGCGCGCACACAGGATTTTTGAATGGGGGGGGGGCACGACCTTCGAACTGGGCCCCCCATGCCGAAGGGCCCCCCCCCCAAAAAAAAAAATACGGCCCACGGGGCTATATTTCGGTTGGTTTGAAGCTTGAGCAATTGGTTTGTCAATGCACGGTAAAACAATTATTTCGGTACCAGCTTAATTTTCAAAACATATATATTTTTACGCTAGGCTGTTTTTTTCTCAAATGCGACTCAGAGCCAGTACATATACCTAAACATATAATTTATTACGTAAAACATTTCATTAATAAACATTTTTGCAGGTCCCTCAGAAATCAACCCCGGGCAGCGACTGACTGCCGGCCGGCCGACCGGCCCCGGGTGGCTAGAAGCAGGGGCCGGTCACTGTTTGGCCCAGATGTGTAGGAGCGGGAGCAGCACTCCTTTTTCACGTATATTCGCATATTTTTTAGGCACATCGACATGAAATGTCATTATATCTGATACGATGCGGGATCACAGACTAGAGATCCAGCTTATAACTTATATTTAATGCTTAACCAATGAATCACATCAACAGGACTATGTACGATGCATGTCGGACACGTACCCAGAATTTCGCCCAAGAGGGGGTCACCTGCTGGTCACCTGACCCCGGGCCCGCGAGTCACCCGGGCGCCCGGGGTCAGCTCAGGCAAGGATGTACCCAGGACCTTTCGATGGGAGGAGGGAGGCACGGTGGGTCCAGTCTCACTGGCAGACGGGTCTCTTTAAAACGGTCTTTGCATGAGAAAATGTGAAAAATTGGCAAGCAAAAGTATCATTTATGCCCGAGGAGTGTGCCTAATGTACACTAATGCCTAATTTACATGGTATTTTATGAGCGAGCGAAGCGAGCGAGCTCCTCAGAGTCACCGGTGTGTGGCGCGTTCAGAGGTGCCAGTGAAAGGCCGTCAGATGCGCTGGTGTTGGGTCCTCACAGGCGCCGTTGCGGGGTCTTAGGGCTTAGAGACACTGGTGGGGCCATCATTGGCATGTGTGTGGCCCTGCAAAATGGCCTGCAAGTGGAAAGTGGCCCGTCATAGGCTGGCAAGGCCAAGGACACTCGGAGGCTGGTAAGAGGCCCTCAGAGTCACTGGTACGTGGCCCTCAGAGGCGTCGGTGTGGGGACTTTCAGAGCCGCCGATGTAGGCCCTTAAGATGCACTGGTGGGGGTCCCTTGGAGGTGGGGCGAGGGGCCTCGCAGTTGCCGTTGTGGGTGCCTTTAGAAACACTGGTGTGGACCGTGTGTCTATCACAGACGGATGTGGAGCCATAGCAGCCAATCCCTCGTTGGCCGTTACTACTTAGGGCCCTGAGCGGCCGGCGAGGTCTCTCAGAAACCGGCATTGGGCCTTTATGAAGAAAATTGTGGCTACATAGGAGTCAATAACGTCCCCCCACAAGCCCTGTGGTGTCCTTCCGAGTTGAAGTGCGGCCAGCGCGAACCCTCTGCTACCAACTGGCGCCGCAGGGCCCCTCGGTTTCGAAGGAACCCTAAACCCGAGAACGGGCACGTACCCCCTCGCTCCCTTGCTATGTCACTGAATCCAAGTGATGGGACCCTTTAGGTAATCAGGGGCGTTTCAGATGACCAGGGGTTTTCAATTGATCAGGGGCCCACCAGGTGACCATGGGCCCCTCTGGTAACCAGGCGCCCCTTAAGTAACCAGGGACCCCATCAATAACCAGGGCCCCTCAGTAAACGGGGGCCACTCAGGTAAGTGTAGGAGTCCCGCAGATAACCAGGGCCGGCAAGGTTTCTCAGGTCCGTTTTTTGACAAGGCTCTTAATTATTGACTCAGGTGCGAGCCCTTTGCCATCAGCAGAGGGCCCTTTCAAGCATTTTGAGGGCCGTTTAACGTCTCTTGAGTTCCCATTGAGGCCTTCTAAGGGCCCTTTGAGCAATCGAGGGGCCTTTGAGGCCTTTTGAGGGTCTCTTGACGTCAGCTGAGGACCGTTGGACGCCAGCTGAGGATCGTTTTTGGGCCTTCTGATGGCCATTAGACGCCAATGGATGACCCTCTGACACCAACTGGGGCCCTCTGACACCAGCTAAGGGCACTTTAAGTTTGACGCTAGCTCAGGGCCCTCTGACATTAGCTGGGGGGGGCCCTCTGACGCTAGCTCAAGGCCCTTTGACGCTCTTTAAGGCCTTCTGAGGGCCCCTTGAGGTCTTCTAAGGGCCCCTTGAGGCTTTATGAGGGCCGCTTGACGCCAACTGAGGACCGTTTGAGGCCTTCTGATGGCCATTTGGCGCCAGCTGGGGGCCATCTGGCACCAGCTGGGGGCCCTCTGTCACCAGCTAAGGACCCTTTAGAGCCTTCGGAGAGCCATTTGACGCAAGGGCATGGCCCTCTGACGCCAGCTCAGGGACCTTTGACACCCTTTAAGGCCTTCTGACGTCCGTTTGACGTTAGCTGAGGGCCCTTTGAGGCTATCTGAGGGCCCTTTAAGGCCATCTGAGAGTCCTTTGAGGTCATCTGAGGGCTCCTTAAGGCCATCTGAGGGCCCTTTGACACCATCTAAGGGCCCTTTGACACCAGATGAGGGCCCTATGACTCTAACTGAGGGCCCTTCGAGGCCATCTGAGGGCCTTTTGAGACCATCTGAGGGCCCTTTAAGGCCATTTGAGAGCCCGTTGTACACGGTCTTCGGTGGTCTAAGGATTAGTTAGAGGCCCATTTGAGGCGGCCTTCGGTTCGGCCGCCTCAAATGGGCCCCCTCCTTCGAGTTGGGCCCCCCAACTCGAATGGGGGGGACACGGGCCCGTGTGCCCCCCCCCCCCCCCCCTTGTGTGCGCCCTTGGAAGAGCCTGATTGGAGAGGAATGAGATAGGGCAGAGCTGAGCGTGAGGCGTAGCGTGACAATTGAAATCGAACGTCTAGAGCCCCGCACAGCCTGCTAAGATTGATCTCACATTACATTCTCACATTGTAGGGGAATGTCGGGTAAGACGGACGGACAAGGTGGGGCAGGAAGGACCACCAGTCTCTCCAGCTGAACCGCTGCTATTATCTGCTGCTTTATGCACTATCTACCTTTGTTTTCCTTCGCTCTATTAATTGCCCCCTGGGGTTCATGGGACCCAAAGAAAAACAATCCAGAGGGGATAGGACGGGTGTGGTGACCTGGCTGGCTTCTCCCGGGCGGCATGTGAGCAACTTGTTCCACTGTTTGAGGTCTTCTGACGTTAGAAAGCCGTACCACGGAGATTGCCTGGTCAACAATGCCTTCATTCTTAATTTTATCAGCTAGCCGCAATATTATGCTCCTTGAAGGAGCCTTGGTCGACAAAGTGGCGCTTGAAGTTACGATGAGTTACAGTAACGGACTGGGACGCGAAAAAAATCAATGGTTTTGGTCTTATACTTCCGTCATCCTGTCGTAAAGCATGATGACTATAAGTGAATCAAATGGCATAGGTGAAAATAAAAATTCACGCGCTTTAATCCCCGCCAGGCCAGGGCCTTTTTCATAACGCGGGCGGCCAGGGGGGAGGTTGGTACGACCCCCTAGCGATTGGCTCCTAAGGGCCTAAGGCACTTAGAAACACCAAATTTACAGGGTAGGTGGGCCCACATGGCAAGGAGATCTCGCCCCTCTGTGCAAATTTGGTCACTGGCGGTCCCAGGGGGGGGGGCCACGGGGGCCATGGCCCCCCCTTTGGTGCTGAAAGGTGGGGCCATACTATCTTTTGGCCCCACCTTTCAGATCGAACAAAAGTCATAGAAAGCTTTTTGTATGTTTCATTTTCTTTCTTGCGCCATCAAAGGACGTAAATTTTACTCATGAGTGGGCTCAGCTTCGCATTCTGTCAATTTGGCGGTCAGCGTCGCTGGCACCGGTTCACGAGTAAGGCCGGGTCTCATATGGAATATCAGCGTGGGTTTACTTGAGGCTCTCGTAGGTCCAGCAATGGCTGGCATGAGACCCTCGGCCTCTTCGGCAGTGGCGGGTGGGCCCTGCCAAATGAGCGTGGCTCTACGACACTAAAGTAAGACCTCATGGGTTGGTGCGGTGCACCTCAGAAGCCCGGTGGTGACGCCGTATGCCGGCTTGGTTTCTTAAGGATTAGCGTGGGACCTCCGGGGCCTGCATAGAGTTTGCATGAGCTAGTATGCAATTTCAGAGGTCTGTGTGTAATGTGTACACAGTGGCGGTCGCGTGGGGGGGGGGGGCATCAGGGTCATGCTCCCCCAAAGGCCAATAAAATGGGCCATCATATCATTTGCCCCCCCCCCCTCCCTCAAACAAACGATGGGCCTCCATAGGTGTATGGGGCCCTGGCCCTTATTCGATCGTCACGAGGCTCAAAAAACCCACTCCAAGCTATTAACCCGCGCCGGGCCGGGGGGGTGTTTGAACACCCCCCCCTGCTGTTTTTCGCAGATATCTCAAAACCGGCGGCGCGGAGCGCCGCCGTTTTTGGCACACCTGTTTGTGCATCTTTTCCGCACATGTTGTGAAAATTTCAGACCCAGGTCACCTTAGGTCAGGTCACCAGGTCACGCCAAGTGACCTCACCTCAGAAAAAATAAGAAGGCTCGTCATAGCTACACCGATTGATCGATTGCCTTGAAACTTTCAGCGATTGATTAGAGCAACATTATCTATAAAATGTATATCTCGGAATATATATATTGAGACGGGTTACACAGCACATTGGGTGGACGCGTTTCGTCTAAATGACTTTTTCGACACCCTCTCGGAAATTAAAACAATACAAACACACAAGAATAAAACTAGCACAGCAGTCTCACACTCTGTTGAAATACAGCATGCTAAGAATGCGCATTACTACAAATGATAACCTTCGATAAAAACTATTTGTCGGTACACAGCTACTGTTACATAATCATCGACGAGAATAAAAAAGCACA